CTTTCCGACATCAATCGTTCAACTTCGGAATTTTTTAGCATCAAGTTCTTATCTTTTTGTGTACAGTCATTAACCAATTCTTCAATTTTTGATTGTTTCTGTTTTATCAGCTCGATATATCGTTTATTTTCCAACATCAATCTTTCAACCTCAGAGTTTTTTAGCATCAAATTCTTGTCTTTCTGTCTACAGTCATCAACCAATTCTTCAATTTTCAATTTATGCTGATTTATCAGCTCGGTATTTCGTTTACTTTCCAACATCAGTCTTTCAACTTCGGATTTTTTTAGCATCAAACTCTTATCTTTTTGTCTGCAGTCATTAACCAATTCTTCAATTTTTGATTTATGCTGATTAATCAGTTCGGTATTTCGTTTGCTTTCCAGCATCAATCTTTCAACTTCGGATTTTTTTAGCATCAAACTCTTATCTTTTTGTCTGCAGTCATTAATCAATCCTTCAATTTTTGATTGTTTCTGCTTTATCAGCTCGGTATTTTGTTTACTTTCCGACATCAATAGTTCAATTTCGGATTTTTTTAGCGTAAAATTCTTATCTTTTTGTCTACAGTTATTAATCAATTCTTCAATTTTTGATTGTTTCTGATTTATCAACTCGGTATTCAGCCTATTTTCCAGAATCAATCTTTCAACTTCGGATTTTTTTAGCATTAAGTCCTTATCTTTTTGCCTACAGTCATTAATCAATTCTTCGATTTTTGATTGTTCCTGACTTATCAACTCGGTATTCTGTTTATTTTCTAACATCAATCGTTCAACCTCAGAATTTTTTAGCAGTCATTAATCAATTCTTCAATTCTTAATTGTTTCTGATTTATTGACTCGGTGTTATCTGATATCAATTTTTCGATTTCAGATTTTAAGTTCTTATTCTTTTGTTCATAGTCATTAATCAACCCTTCAATTTTCAATTGTTTCTGCTTTATCATATCATTCATTTTCATATTTTCAGAAATCAAAGATTCAATTTTTAAATCTTTTTGCATTAAAATGTCATCCTTTTGCTTAAT